TTGGGTGGATGCCGTCTCCCTGCGGAGCTTCGGCCGCCGCAAGTCCTGGCTGGTGCCCACGCAGTACATCCTGGGGCTCTTCATGATCTACATGTCCACCCAGGTGGACCTGCTGCTGGGCGACGGGGAGGGCCGGGGCCCCAACGTGGTGGCCCTCACTGGGACTTTCTTCTTCTTTGAGTTCCTGGCGGCGACGCAGGACATCGCGGTGGACGGCTGGGCCCTGACCATGTTGTCCAGGGAGAACGTGGGCTACGCCTCCACCTGCAACTCCGTGGGCCAGACGGCCGGCTACTTCCTGGGCAATGTCCTCTTCCTGGCCCTCGAGTCGGCCTCCTTCTGCAACAAGTACCTGCGGTTCCAGCCCCAGCCCCAGGGGATTGTTACCCTCTCAGGTACTGCCTGGGCACCGGCGGCCCGCGCGTGCCGGTGCTGGGATGGGGATGATTCTTCCCTGAGCCTCGACCAAAGCTCCGTTCAAAGCGAGTGGTGGTTTGGCGCTGTGAATCGAGCAGGTTTGGTCTGTCCCCTGCCCATGAGAAAGCACAGTGTGACAAGAGACTGGTGAGGTCCACTGCTGCACGCGCTGAACTTCCAGGCTTCTCTGAGTGCAGGAAACCTGCCTTGTCATTATCTTGGCTGACCTAAGCACTTCGGAGACGTTTTTTTTTCCCCTGGTTTAATGACCACGGAATAGATTATTGTTTTAAAAAAAACCCAAACAAACCTCCTCTTATTAATGAGGCCTTTTAAGAACATCTCCTTCTGGGAGGAAGGAAAGGGGAAATTAAAAAAAAAAATTGACTGTTGCAAAATTTCTGTTCACGGAAATAGAAATAACAAGAGTTCAGGGTTGACCACGTAGCCAATTTCTGAAGGAAGGCCTTATTTTAGTAAATTAAAGGGGATTTTGTTTTCTCTTTAATTAATTAAATGAAGTCTGGTAATCCAGCTATAGCTAGTTGTTAGTGTAGGGGTGTTTTCTGTTTGGTGGGTTTTGGGTTGGTTCGGGGTTTTCTCTGTTCGGTGGGTTTTGGGAAAGGTTATGTGTGGTGTTGATGTCAGGGGTATTGCCTAGAAGATGCTTAAAATACATGTTTTGTTTGGAAGGTTGAGTTTAGCCACTCCAGCTTATGGAGGACAAGAAAAACTGGCACCACTTCTGGCTGCAGTCTCAAAGTGCCGGTGGCTAGCAATGAAGAGTAAATTCTCATGGTTTTAACTTCTTTTCCATCTCTTGCATTGATTGCTCTGCCTGTATCATGTAAGGGAAAAGGTATGCCAAAGCCGAGTCGAATTGTTGTTCGCAGGCTAGTCTTCGCTGTCCATCCTGTCCCTATCTCATTGATAAATCAGGATATCAGTTTCCAAGACTGCTGTAATTATTTTGTCTGTGCAGCTATCGCAATTGCTAACTAGTCTTCCTCTTTCCTTCCTCTTGATGACCCTAAGTCTGGTCTATATGCCAACAAGCATAGAGTAGTCCTCAAAGTAACCCTGCTGGTTTGTTGCTTTCCTTTGTTTCCCTTTAGTGTGCAGTTCATAAGTGCTGGCGTGTCTCTTCTCTCTTGCTCCAGCGGTGGACTGACGTCTTTTACTGCTGATGCAACCTGCAAATCACTCGTGTAGTTCAGAGAGCTTGGTTTGTCTAGACTTACCTCCACTGTCCAGGTTTTTTATTGTCTTGGGTTTTTTTCTCAGTACTGTGTGTATAAATGGATTTGTTATTATTGCAAGAGTGGTCTTTGGGGGGGGGGAAATATCCCCCAAACCAAAAAACACCAGCGCAACCTGTTTAACTTGTCCTGGAGTACTAACCTGGGTGGAGTAAGAAAAGCAAATAGCTCTGACACTATAGTTGCAGGATATGTTTTTTGGGGTTGTAAAACTGGCTGCAAGAAACTTCTGTTCCCTTGTTCATGTGACTATACCACAATTTGCTGTGTCCACGTTTCTCCTGAAGCAGCCATAGAGCAGTGCTGTAAACCAGCTCACTGAAATGAGGAGAGCAGCTCTCTGGTCCTAGCACTGGTTGTAATGGGGCTCGTGATGGGCTCATTCAGGCAGTTAAAGCAGCAGAAAACAGTTTGAAAAGGTGAATAGTTTTCTGCCAGTTCAGATCCCTGAATGCTTCTGGCGTAGGCTGAGTGCCGAAGGAGTCAACGCTTCATGATCCCAAGTCAACTTCAAGTTGTGGAGAAGCAGCAGCATTAGTTGTTTGCTGTGCAGTCACGTGAATGCCTGTCCCAGCATGAAGGAAGAGAAGTAAAGCGCGAGCGCAGGAAGAAGGTGGCCCTTCAAGGCAGCCCAAGCTTTCCCGGGAAGAGACGTGTGGCTGTAGAATTACTTAAAGCTGTTGTGATGAGACACCTGTCTGTCCCCACACACCTCGCTGGTGCTTATTTTCCAGCCTGGGCTGACCCTGATCTAGTTCAAAAGTTTGCTTTGCCCAACACTATAGTTTATTTTGCTCGTAGTAGTATAGAGGCAGAGACAGAATAGGGATGGGGCCAGGCAGCACTGGTGGCACCAGAAACTTTATGCTAGAAATTTCTTGTGTAAACTGTAATTTAAAGTTCTTTTGCCTGTAGCCTGGTAGTGCACTATATGGCTGGGTTTTTTTGTTGTTTTGTTTTGGTTTTTTGGGGTTTTTTTGCTAATCCAGCCGTTGCTGTATTGCGGCTGACGGGGCTGACCTGATCAGGAATATTCATGCAACGATGCTCAAAGCTATTTCTATTCCTGTCCTCGCGCTCTAGGTCTCTCACTGCGGTGATAATGCTTAGTGCTATTATTAGAGTACCACTGCTGTATGTCTTCTGTAGACAGTAGCTGCGATTAGCATGACTCTCTGAAAATTAATCTTTTACTTAAAAATGTAATATTCGGGGTACCTTTTTTAACAGAGAAGAGAGCAATCTGACAGCATCGGTTATGAGATGTTCTTTACTTTAGAAAAGGGAGAAGTAGCCGGTGTGGAAGCAGCAGAAAATGGTTTGAAATGCCTTTTTTTCTTTTACACTGGGAGCGCTAGGATATAGCTACAGTAGTCTTTTTGTGTTTTCTTCCATGCTTGTTGTGCTTGTTCTCTTCCTGCGCCTAAGAAGCAGCTAATAATTGACTAAACCTTTGCACTGTCTTTGCCCTTTCACCAGCCCTTGCTGCTTGCTTTCAAGTCACCATGAGGCTCCTGGAGTTGCCCATGACCAGGAAGATAAAAGGCTGCTTCTGTTTTACCCTCTCCATGTTACTGAGTTCTTTCTTGCCTCTTTCATAAAGGTAGAGGATAGGACTAACTTAGATTAATCCATTCACTCACTCAAAAAGTACTTGCAGTAAAATATTGGTGTGTTTGTACTATTGCTGTCGTCAAATCCTCAATTTAGCAAATATTATATGTGCTTAAAATAGAGCTCTTAAAGGTTAGCAAGTATAATAGCTACTTAAACCAGACATATTTTAGTGACTCTCTACTTGATGGCTGCGTAAGAACTTTCATCGGGCCATCTTTACACTCATAAGTATACATCTTTGTTTCCTTCAGATAGATATTATGTAGGGAGTATAGAATTGAGGCACCGAATAGTTACATGACTGCCCAGTAAATCCACTGGAGAGGTGTGAATGACTTCTTCCTCTCAAGTTTTTCCCCGTCTTGTAACTATTTTATGTGCTTTTCCCTCCTTGATCAGCTTTTGGTGACTATGTGTAATCCTTCAACACTTCCATTTTTTATTTCTCTTTCTGCTCCGCCGTGCCGGCTGCGGCAGCAGGGCACACAACACCGGGGCAGTGACCGGTTCGCTGCTGCTCTTCGGTCTGGGGTCGCAAGCGAAGGTGGTTATAGCCTGAGGGCAGGGCAGCACTGTGCCAGCTGTGTGTGGAGCTGTGTGTTTGGGGTTTGCTTTTGTTGCTTGTTTTTAGAAGGGTCAAGGAGTAATGTTTTTATTCAATTTCTGATTATTAGGCTTATATTTTTTGAAAATAACTGCATTTTAGACACTCAGTGAATTGTTAATGAAGTGTTAATGATGGCTGCCGGAAAGATTTTTTTTTTTTTATTTTATTTTTCCCTCCAGATTTCCTGTTTTTCTGGGGAGCTGTCTTTTTAATTACCACTACACTGGTTGCCCTTTTGAAAAAAGAGAACAAGGAACTAACGCCAACAAAAGAAGAAACAAAAGGCATCACTGATACATACAGGCTGCTATTCTCAATAATCAAGATGCCGGCAGTTCTTACGTTCTGTCTCTTGATTCTCACAGCAAAAGTGAGTAGATACATATATGAATTGTTAGATGCTGATGATATCAGAGTCTGAAGGGTTGCTGAGTCCCTGCCATGTAACTTATTTCTTAGTTTTGCTGGTGGTTGTCATCAGAGTTCTGAATTTTCACGCAGGGCTGTACAACAGAGAACATTTGTTTGAGCTTTTGTAAGTGTTTACACAAGCATTAAAGAGAAGTTTGATTGCTATCTAGTATTGAAGTAATTTGTTTTTAAACATTTTTAAACAGGTTGTTTGTGTAGTCGTCAGTTAAAAGGACAGAAAATTTTTTCTTTTAACCTAAATATTTTTGCCAGAATCTGTAACTCCATACAACCTAGGGTTCCACGGGTTCCTGTTGGCTGCTGTGGACACTGACAGCAACTAAGGCACAGGCATGAATAGCATTGCTGTGTTTAATATTCTTGGTATAGTTTTGGAACTGATGACAAGAAGAGAATGCAAGTGTAGAACATGTTTCAGAACAGATTTGGAAATCAAATGAGACACAAAAGTGAACTGTACTCTATCGCATTTCTCAATTTACTTAATAGCGAGTAAACTGAATTTCTAGCCAAACTGTCACTGCTTTCCTCGGTTTATTTTCTCTAACTTGTATTGCAGATTGGCTTTTCGGCAGCAGATGCTGTAACGGGACTCAAACTGGTGGAAGAGGGAGTCCCGAAAGAGCACTTAGCTCTGCTAGCGGTTCCAATGGTTCCCTTACAGATAATACTGCCTCTGATTATCAGCAAATACACAGCAGGCCCCCAGCCACTGAACACGTTTTACAAAGCTATGCCTTTCAGGTAAAAACAAATGAATCTTGTTTGACAGAAACGTAGTAACTTGTGTATTCAGATCGAGTACAGGATTTCTTGTGTAACTCTTAAACTTCCAGGCACAAGAAGGTATGTCAGAATGCTCAGAGTGAGAACTCCGTCTTGTGCCTTGATTCATGTAGTAACACATGTAAGAAAGTGGAACATGAGGGGTTTTTAAGACGCGCATGTGACAGCATTAGAGCGGTACTCTCCTGCTCTTATTCGGTGTCAGTAGTTCCTTATTCCTGAACCATTCTGACGAGATCTGGGACTGTGTCTGTGAAGTTACGTGTGCTGCCCAGCGTGGGAGTGGCAGAAGGCACTGACGGATGGATGGGCGCAGTTACCGCAGTGAGGTAACTGAGAGCAACAGGAGCTGAATTGGGCCGATACAGACAAGGAGACGTTTCGTCTCTGTGTTAAGTGTTTTTCATAGGAGTTTGCTTATGGAATTCTAAAACCAGTGAATCTGGCAAATTACTGAATGCTGTTACTCAGTAAGTCATGTAACGTGTCTGTAACAGGTAACTGTTATTTTAACATGTTCTTATGCGGCGATGTATGTTTTTGCCAAAGGAAAGGGTAAGTTTTGCTCCAGTTGAATTTGGTTAGGTATCTTGTGTGTTGCTTTCTACAAAAAATAAATTTCTGTGTGAAGGTGCAGGGAAGAAGCTAGTGTCTGGTAGTGAATTATGTTTATGTAGAAGACAGAATTGTTAAGGTATAAAATTTTGGTGCTTGTCAAATATTTAATATCTAGTTCTATTTAAGATAGAAATAGCTTTAACTGTTGAGATATAAACTTTTTTAATGTATTCTGTATGGATCAAGGAAACACATGGGGAGGAGAATTACTTGAATTACAACTTGTCTTTCTTATTCCTCCAGATTACTGCTTGGTCTGGAATTTGCTTTTTTGGTATGGTGGACTCCTACAGTAAAACATGAAGGAGGATTTCCTGTCTACTACTATGTTGTAGTATTGTTGAGTTATGCTTTACATCAGGTAACATACAGTGTCGGTGGGAAGGGGAGGGGGACAGGAGGGTATTTCATATCAGTCCACGAGAGCGCTATGAATCTGTTATCTGCTTTTGTCCTTGGTTACACTAGAATTCCTCTAAGTCTGACCTGTTGTGCTGTATTTAGTTTTGATACTCTTGCCAATATCATTTCTCCTTTTTCCATGTGCTCCATTGGATGTCATCTATGAAGTTACTTGTAGTCGATCGGATCTGCTTTTTTTTTCGCAGATTTCCCCCCCCCCCAAAAAATCTGAAGCTCAAGAGCATGGTGGAGTTGGAGAAATCCCAGCATTCTGACTGAGTTTTAGGCATGATGATTGATGGTTGTGCTTATTGTGCAGATCCATGAAGTTATGTGATCCTGGTCCTAGAAAAGCTACGTTAGTGATTTTTGAAGTAACATCATAATGGATCTGATCCAAAGGCCTGGAAAACAAATGCCTGATACAAACGGGGCTTTGGATCAGAACTAAAATGTATGCAGTGCCTTGAGAGTTGATTTTAAATGCAAAAGGGTTATTTTTGTATGCTATTTTAGCTGGCCTTATCATACTTCAGTTTGATAACCCGAGTCATTCTGATGCACGTGAGGCTGGGTCCATGTCGGCATGACTTGAGACGAGTGGCAAGGCTACTGCTTGGTATGAGAAGAGAGACCAAGTGCAGAATTTCTCTCTTGTCCAATTTTAAGGTGTCGGGGTTATTTTTCAGTCAATGGTGCTAACTTCAGGTGGTCTGTTAAAACAGTTCTTGTGTTAGGGTTTTTAGTTGTTGTTGCCCATAACTGGGGAGACCTTACTGTTTTCTTACCTCTTCTACAGATCACGCTGTATAGCATGTATGTTGCAATAATGGCTTTCAACGCCAAGGTCAGCGACCCGCTGATTGGAGGGACCTACATGACACTCCTAAATACTGTGTCGAATCTGGGAGGGAACTGGCCTTCCACCGTTGCACTCTGGCTTGTGGACCCACTCACGGTGAAAGAGTGTGCAGGAGCCCAGGAACAGTCCTGTGGAACTACAGTTGCGGCAGAAGTAAGTTTTGGAGGCTGTGAAGGTCTCTGTTCAATCATTTCTCAATTAAGTTGCTTCTCTTAGTATTTTCTTGCCTTTGAGAACATTCGTAGTGCACAGCTTATGCTTAAAAATTCCCACCAATTGAGCTAATTTTTCTGTCTGATAAATTAAGTCTTATTTTATCTGTACGCTCTTAATAACTAACAGCTTACCGAAGATTGGCAGCTGCAGCGTAGTTGTCTGTACCTTTCTGGGCCGGGATGAAAAGCTGGTGGCAGAAGCACTAAATTGGTGCCACACTTGCTGCAGTGCAAGGAAGCTGTAGTTACAATTTTGAGAGTAAACCTTGCGAAGTTCAGAGTTGTGTAATCAGGCACTCTGTTCTGGGCAGGCTGGCTGTCCCCCAAGTCCCCTAAGTTTTGTGGTAGGTTTTTGTTCCTTTTGTCTTTCTGGAGGCTTCCTATCTGGATACCTTGATACCTTCTCCCGTGATGTTACTTTGCTCTCTTGTCTTTGATCTTCTCTTTCCACGTGAAATTGAGCGGTTGTCACTGGCTGCCTTCCCAGCTCTGGGGAGCCCTGTGGAAGAGAACAAAGAACATGCTGTGCTGCTGTACACAGATCAAACAACGGGATGCAAAACTGCCTGGAAAGCAAGGTTTCAAATTCACCTCCTCATGAGCAAATGAGAAATTGTAACGTGACTGTTTGAAAGGGTGGAAATGTTTTAGGGGTTTGGGGGATTTTTATTCCATACACACAACTGAGATTTATTTCACTCTTGAATGCCAGGACTCTTTGGGATGTGGAGGTTCTCCAAATAAGCAAAGCGTTCTAGGAGTCAAACGTGACTTGTTTGAACTTGAATTGCACTTCTTACTAGTTACAGAGGGGAAACTGCTTCCACTTAATGGGTGCTTTTTCTGCCTGTCATTGGCTTGCTGCCGATTGGGTTCCCTGAGCCTGGGCCTCTACTGAACTTCAGTCCTCCCTCCTTCACCTCACTCCTCTGATCTTTTTTTGCAGTTGGTAATGTTCTACCACCACTCCCTTCTTATTCCTAATCTGATCTTGACATGTCTCAGAATAATGAAAATGCTGGCAGAACCTCACCTCAGAGGGTTGATTTATCTTGGGATTATAGCGGTATTGAAATCTGAGCAATAGCAGAACCCATCGTGAGCTATACACGTACGCTTTAAATGCTGGAGTTTTGTCTTCCAGTTCTGCAATTAAAAAACATCCTGGGCATGTTTTTCCCAGAAATACGCAGCGCTTTGTACTGTCCGTTTGCAGATTCAGTGTGGTAAGATGCAAGGGTGTGATTTCTAAAGAAGCCATTTGGATGGCTGGGAGGGGAAAGAAAAATTTTCATGGGATTAAGAGCGGTGCTTGCACCTCCAGGCCAGGCTGAGACAGCTGGACAGCTTCTGTTTGCTAGAGTTAGCCCCCTGGGCCAATATGCTCCATTTACCAAATGTTTTATAACAGTTTTGTTACTTTTCATACCAATGGTACACTTGAAAGCCTCTCTTACTAACTCCATAAGAAACAAGGAAGATTAAGCAAATACATTTAGTCATAACCAAGAGCAAGTAAAAAAACGGTAGATATTTAATGCCTGCTTTCTCAAAGTCTCTGTTTCCGGATCTCCCAGGGAACACTTAATGCATCGACTTCTGCTTCTGTCTTTCAGCTCTGCACAAAAGCTGGCGGTTCCTGTGTTACTACCTTGGACGGTTACTACGTGGAGTCTGTCATCTGTGTCATTCTGGGATTTGGCTGGTGGTTCCTGCTTGGGCCAAAATTTAAAAAGCTGCAGGATGAAGGACAGTCTTCGTGGAAGTGCAAGAGGACCAATTGATGCAGTTTAAATATTCATGGACTAGCAAGGTCATTTTAGTTTTACTACAAGGACATATCCCATAATCAATAAACAGGAATATAGGTATTTTTAAAGGCCACGTCACTGAAAAAATGGGTGGCTGAGACAGTGGTATGTTTGTATGTGATACCACTTGCCTTCCCAATATCAAATGTAAGTTCAGAAAGTAATCATTAAAAAACGGCACCTATGTACTACATACCTGTCCCCGAGCTCCAGCTTCAGAGCCGTGGCCGCTGGTGCCGCCAGCGTCTGGATTTCCATATAGCAACTATGGAAAAGCTAATTGTGCCATGTCTGTCGAAACAGCAGCATTGTCAGCTAAGTTCCAGCTCTTTATTTTCAAACAGAAACGGTCTGACACGGGGAGTTGACCCGGGGAAGGATGTCAAAGGCATTTTGACTTGTAGGTTAAGCGTGTTGTACTATGGAATTCCATGTGGGAAGATAAATGTAAAATGTCAGTGCGCTTTGATTCTTCTCACTTTCTGAACTGTAACCACATCTCAAAGGATGAAACGTTTCAGAGATTCTTTTAAATGTATTTTCTGGCTTTTATAAGCTTTAAAGATTTATAAGAAAATATTTTTATAAACAAATTACATTTGTTTAATTTATTTCCGCTGTTTCAAAGCATTTTGATTTACGTTCAAGGTACTTTCTTGACAAAAACATTGCTGTAAGGTAGGACTTAAGACTAACGCACAATACTCTAGGCCTTGAGTCCTGAAGGTGTAAACTGGACAGAGCAGCAGCTAGCACACACACAGACAGCTTTCAAGAGGAGAGGGCGCGCAGGCCTTCGGAAGGCGATTGGTATTTTGAGGGAATGAATTGATAGCGTCGGTTCCTCCATGTCACTAAAATTTGAACATTCAGATTGAAGATCAGTGGGAAAAAATGTGACTGTTCCCAGCTCGGGGTAAGGAAAGATGATCAGTGCCTTTGGAAGTGATTTGGTGATGACAAACTTGCCAAATTCCCAGTGAGTTGCTGAACGACTTGCTGTCCCGTAAATCAAACAAGCTAAATCCTGTGGTAGAGCTGCTACAGAAACTTATCACTGATGCTGTGTAGTGGAAACATTCCCGTTGCATTTGTCAAAAATGACTTCCCTCCCGAGTGCCTTAGTGATGTACGGCAAGCACACTGTACGCCTAGAGAGAGGGCACTTGGATATTGTTGGATGTATATGGTACATCGTTATTAAAAAAGAAAACTATTAAAAATACCTTTGAAAGGTACATGATTTCCTTTTCCATTCTGTGTTTCTTGCCTTGTCAAAGTTTGAAGTATTGCCTCCTGAGCTTTGTGTTCCAAACTCCCGGAAGGGGCTGTGGCTCTTTTGTTGCTGTATGTTTTAGGAAAAAAGTAAATCGATACCAACTTTTGAGCAACGGGAGGGGATGTGGTTGTGTACAAAGTGTCTGTGTGACATAAGGAGGAGTAAAGAGGTGTCCAGAAGAGGACAGTGTGACCAAGTGCTTCCTTGGGCACTGAAGCCCGTTCTTCTGTCTCTTCCCCTCTCCCTCCTCGGAGGGACGCCCTGGTGGTGGGTGGAAAGCCAAGCCCTGAGCTGTAGATCTCCCCCGGCTGTGAGCCCTGGGACACCCACAGCACATTCCCACTATTTGTTTCAAGTACAGCAAAATCAGCCAAGCTAAAGGAAAGCACATTGGGTTTACTCCCCAAACTAAAAGTCTTCCAATTTCACCTCTGCATAAGCACAAAGAATACGAGAATATTTCAGAGATTTGTAGTCGAAGGTGAATGGATCTTTCAGTCCCGGCCACATCATCTCCACTGGGTTCACTGTGTACGAGGCACTTCAGTTCTGTGTCTTTACTGGAACAACGGGCCACTTGCTTAAATTGCATCTTCTCCATACTTAGAGATTCCTCTTTTTTTTTTTTTTCTCACTTTCTCTGACTTTGAGGAAAAGCTTCTCATCTGCAGAATATGGAAATTAAATTCATGGATGTTTTAGGGTTTGCTTTTACTTTGCAATTTTGTTTCACTCTTTCTGAAGGTGCCAGTGAAACTTGTTATTAATACAGATGGGTTGAGAATTGCTTATCGGTACATTACGTGAACTCGGCAAAATCAAATTTAAACATACACTCCAAATCAGCAGTAATATGTATGAAGTGTGACCTAAATGAAGTAACTGTTTCGTCTTTCAAACTGGAGAAACAACTGATGGAGTAGGTTTTTTAATGCATGTTGCTATTTTGTAATGCAAGTCAGAAAAGTTACTGCTTTACCAGCTGATTAGCAGAGCGCTGAAAAGAGCCAGTAAACTTTTGGTCTTGCTTTTTTTCGCCTGACCCTATTCTAAGATGAAAGAATATTTATTTTTTTTAATATTAGGGTTATTGTAGACTTAAACATCTTTAACATAAAAAAAACCCTAAAACTTTTTAAAAAGACAAGAAGAAAGAAGCAACCCAACCTCTTCCTTGAGAGTCTATTATTGCAATGGGAGTTGGAGAAAGCGAGTGGGAGACTGAGATGAGATCTGAGGAAGAAATTCTTTGCTGTGCGGGTGATGATCCCCTGGGGCAGGTTGCCCCGAGAAGCTGTGGCTGCCCCATCCCTGGAGGTGTTCAAGGCCAGGTTGGACGGGGCTTGGAGCAACCTGGGCTGGGGGGAGGTGGCCCTGCCCAGGGCAGGGGGCGGCACTGGGGGGGCTTTAGGGTCCCTTCCAGCCCAGACCACTGTGGTTGTACACAGACCAGCCCGCGGTCGGCACTAACACCGCCTGTGCCCTCAC